GTGAGAGAGCTGTTACTCCCCCAGCTTACCGACGGGATGCTCCCAGACGTGTCAGAGCCAGGCCTTGTTCATGGAGCTGGATTGGAACCCCATCCATGTTCCACAGTTGCCCAGACATGCTGACCGGCCTACATTGCTGGGTGGTGTGTTTCTTCCTGACAAAGCTTTGATGTGACCTAAAACAATGTGTTCAGTTATCATCGAAGAGATATTTAACTTTCAGTAACACTTTAGACCTCCAAAATACACACACACACACACACACACACACACAGGGGTTTCATTAATTCATCAGAACAAGTCGATGTCTTGTTAAAGGCTTCTTGAATGTTAATGAATGAATAATTAACTTTAACTATATAATTAGCCTTTAAATGTGCTGAGACCCCCCAGAGAGCATTTGAAAACATGCATAAGAAGATGGAGAGCTAAAACCGGAAATTTTTGATTAGGAAATGTCAGGCCACTTGACAATACAAGTTCCCAGTCTCAAAGGGGCAGTGGTCTTCCTTGTGTTGGGGGAAAGGGATTTGCTCACAGTCTCGGGGCTGGAGTGAACATTCAGGCCCTCATGCAGGTACAAGAGAGACCGGCTGAAGTAACAGGATCAGGTCGACACCCTCCAACCAGCTGTAGCAGCTCTTCAAAGCTGTAGAAAAGTCTGGCAGGAAGCGGCAAGGTTCAAGTACCGCGGGCACACGTGACATTCTTTCCTACTTTGCTTCTTTGCAAATTTGCAGAAAGGAGGTCTCCTTTCCTCCTCTCATTCTGAATTACTGTCATTTTCCATCATTTGCTTTCCTTGAGGACTGCCGGTGACAGGGAGAGGGTAACAGCACCCACACAGCCTCTGTGATGTCTGGCAGGGGGTGGGCACGTCACAGAGCCAGGACGGCATTCATTTCAGGCTTTGGTTCTGGTTCAGCCCTCACGGTGGGGAGCCGAGGTGTCGTTTCATTTGTCACAAATGTTTGAAGAAATGATCCGCCTTCTCTAGGGAGTAGAGTTGGGCAGGGCAGGGGCTCTGTCCCCATCTTGGGTCTTTGATCCTGATCTTTGAGCCTCCTCCACCCAGTAGGAGAAGCTAGTGACAGCCATGTGACCCCAGCAGGAGCTGGGAAGGTGGGGGACAGAGACAAGCTCCTCTTGAAAAGCAGAAGAAAACACAGGGCAGAGAAGCACCCTGGGTTTCTTCCCTGTGAGTCCTCAAGCATCCAGTGGACTACTCTGAGTTCTGAGGGCCTCCTTCCCCACGCCAGCCTTTCATCTCTGTGGGGTTCCACACCCAGGGCTGTCAACCACCACGCGACAGCCCGATACATCACTGTCTCTGGCCATCACAGCTCTAACCTCCCAAGTGCTTTTGGCCTAAATTGGGCTTCAGTTCCAGGGGGCCTTTTCTTCTTTCTCACCTTTACCTTTGACAGGAAGCTATGGCCGTCTGCACCGAAACATCTCCCTAACAAATGGGCCAGACACGTTTTCTGTGGGGTGACTCCAGACCCTGCACACTGTGATGTGTTGGGAAAGAGTCACATGAAGCTGAACCACCCACCAGATCTTTTAAAACTCTATTGTGGTCTCATCCTTGCTCCCCTTCTCATAGCTCTGGGCTGGATTTATAGCCGTAACCCCCAGTCTGAGTGTCATAAGCAATAGACAGAGCTGCCTTCATTAATTCCATAGGTGTGATGGAGCATGTGGTCATAGTGGTTATTCTGTGGCCTTTGGTATCAGACTGTGGAAGTCCAAATGCTGCTGCCACTTCTAAGCTGGGTGGTCTCAGTGACTTTTCGTCTCAGTGACTCGGTTTCTCGTCTCACAGTAGGGATGGCAGTAGATGTAAATCTGTGCATTTACAAAGGAATGAATGACATGAGATAAAACATATAAAATATTCAGGACTGGACCTGCCACATAGAATACATAAAAGTTGTGAGCCCCTTTGCCGTAAAATCAGAATTTGACTGAATGCACCTGTTATGTGTCTCGAGCCTTTGCTATGTGCCAGTCATGGCGCACACATCATTTATATGACCTCACTCTATTTCTAGCAGCCCACAAAGGGTAGATACTGTCCACTCTGTGCTCAAAGACTCTGACTCCAAGCCCACTCTTGAGGATGTCAGCAACTTTTAATTTTTAAAAAATTTTTTAACAATGAGGATATTTTTCTTTCAACTGAAAAGAAGATTTGTCATGAAATATGGTATTGATTTGCTGAAATCTGTGCTTGACGATCTAAACCACTGCTGGACACATCTCCTGTGGTTGCCGGGTACAGTTTTAGATTTCTGTCCCAGAGATGCATTGGCCTGTGTGGGTAACAGGATGGGGAAAACTTTCACCCCATGAATACCAGCTTGTGGCCTTGAAATTTGAATGCCCCTGCACACCCATATGTGTGTAATTCTGTGCACTTTTTGAGGAACAGAGTAAAGATTTGGGTGGGGCTTAGAAAGTCTGAATAAAACCCAGGTTCTTAGCATCTCCATGGCAACTTTGCTATGTGAAGTATGGACATTGCAAGCCCCCTACTTCATCAAGAGGACAAATGCCATCCGTGGCCTGAAATCTTCAGGAAACAGGTCATCCAGAGTCTCAACTTCCCTATGAAGAGTGACAGAAGGTGACGATTGGCTTGCAGAATTATAGAATGCCACAGCTAGACGAGTATCTCGCAGCAGGCCCACCGGCCATGCAAAAGAAAGAGGTGACTTTGCTGAGGGCACACCATCCTCCAAATCTGGACTAGAACTCAGATCTCTTCTACCTGCTCGTCCACACCCCCTACAGCTGTCACACACAACCCAACCTTTCAAAACTCCCCTGTTTCCACAGGTCTCTGTGTGGCCAGCTCTCCAGACAGGCTGTTTCCTCTTGGTCTGTTGGCCCTGAGTCACCACCCCACTGGCAATGCACAGTTTTCTTCCTCTTCTGCTCGGATGGTCTGATTCCCTGTGAATACTCTCAGAGGGTAAAACTATGTCTCCACGCCTGCAGCCCTGGATGAAAGTTTCAGGGTCTTTCTGGTGGCAAGACCAGCCTGGTAGTCTCGCCCCACCTCTAATCGTTGCAGAAACAAAAAATTAAAGTGAAGAATGCCGCCGTAAACCTTCCAAATCGTTTGGTCCCCACAGGGCATCCTTTAGCAGCTGTCTCTGAAAGGAGGCAGCGTGTTGCATCATCTCTCTGCCACTTTCATTGTTCTGTGCTTCACTGTTTTCTGTTTTCTTGTTAGAGAAGAGGCAGTAAAGTTGAGGAAGTTCAGTGATCTCCGATTTTGTTTTCCTGCCTACCTTAGAGTCGAATATCCATCCCCACGTTCAAGGGTGATCATTCCAGCCTTGTTACATAACTTTAAAAATTGGAAACAATATGCACACCCACTCACAGGGATCTAGGTAGTGAATGAGGCACAGACGTGCCATTGAGGAGGTGACACGTGCTGGCCTCTGGTGGGGAGGCTGACTGGGAAGGGCAGACAGGACTTCTGTGATGATGAAAATGATCTGTGTGGTGATTTCAAGATGTGTACATATGTCAAATTTTATCTAGTATTTTATTTCCTGTAAGTTATACCTCAATAAAGATAAACGTATCCCCCAAAAGGGCTGTATTTGTCGACACGAAACATGTTCATTGTATGCGGTGGTGTGGAATGAGAAAAGAAAGCAATTTTTGAACTAGTTTCCATGCTAGAATCCGATTTGGGGGATTGAAGCACGGGTTGGCAAGCAGCGGCCCATGGGCAAGTCTGTTGTTGTAAATAGCCTTTTACTGGAACAGAGCGGAGTTCATTCATTTATGTATTATCAATGGCTGCTCCGTGCTGTGTGTTAGTTCCGAGGGCTGCCATAAAACGTACCACACACTGAGAGGGTTAAACAGCAAGGTTATTTGTCTCAGAGTCTGGAGCCCAGAAGTCCACGATTAAGGTGTTGACAAGGCCGTGCTCCCTCTGAGGGCGCTAAGAGAGGAGCTGCTCCAGCCTGTCTCCCAGCTTCTGGGAGTCTGTGAACCTGCGGCAGCATCTCTCCACACTCTGCATGGCGTCCTCCTGTGTCTGTGCCCACATTGCCCCTATTCATTAGGACACCAGTCCTAATAGATGAGGGCCCACCCTACTTCTCTCTCCCTTCCCCTCTCTCTCTTTTAAATCACTTTTTTTCAAACATTTGAAAGGGCCTGGCTGGTGTGGCTCAGTGGTTGAGCATTGACCCATGCACCAAGAGGTCGCCGGTTCAGTTCCAGGTCAGGACACATGCCCAGTTTGTGGGCTTGATCCCCAGTGGGGAGCATGCAGGAGGTGACCAATTGATGTTCTCTCTCATTGATGTTTCTATCTCTCTCTCCCTCTCCCTTCCTCTCTCTCTCAAATCAATAAAGAAAAAACAATTAAAAGAAATAAAACCTTTGAAAGGTTGTTCATCAATATGTTAACAAAGGTTGCCTCTGAGTTATGGAAATATGGGCAGTTTTCTTTTTAATTATATTCTCAGTATTGTCTACATTATTTGGGTTTCTAAAAATTATCGTGTAAAAATTGTTATAGCATAAATACACAATAAGCATGTCTCTGGGGAGGAAGAAGCCTTGTTGAGTGGCTCTCACCTGCTGCCGCGTGCCATATCTTCCTGCCCCTTAACCGTTTGCTTTGTTTGGATGCAACCTTTCTAAATAGTCTGCTGTTCACCACTGTTGGGAGCACTAAGGGCAACACTTCACAAACCAGCCAACTCAACTGTTTACTCACTTTGGTGTAAGGATTCTTCACGTCTTTATTTAACCGCCTCTTGCAACTTGGAAAGAAAGGGTTCTGTTTTTTTTTTTTATCCCCTCATTAAAAATAGATCTTTTTATGACCAGAGGATGGAGCAACCATGAGTCATCATCCCCAGTGTGAGAGAAAGTGTGTGATGCTGCATCAGACCTTGGGAGCTGGGCTCCGAGACAGTATCCCGCCATTGCCATGACTCCCTGGTTTCTTGTCATTGCAGGAAACTGGACGCTTTCATCTACGATGCGGCAGTCTTGAATTACAAGGCTGGGCGGGACGAAGGCTGCAAGCTGGTGACCATTGGGAGCGGGTACATCTTTGCTACCACTGGCTATGGAATTGCCCTCCAGAAGGGCTCCCCTTGGAAGAGGCAGATAGACCTGGCCCTGCTCCAGTTTGTGGGTGATGGTAAGACCTTGGGTGACCCCCTTCTTTGGGGGACTTGAGACCCTTGCACTTTATGTTTTTTTTCCCCATTGGCTTTCCAATGGATCTTTGTGTGATGAACTTGCTCACTAAAAGTATTTATTGTCTGCCTATCACATGATACTATGGTTTTTTAGTTTGTTTATCATGGAAACCAATTATAGATGACTACAGTTTTTTAAGGAATTTATTTTAGGGATGTGGAAAGGTCCATCTCAGTGAATTGAGGAAAGAGTTGGGCATATAGATTTAGGAAAAAAAATACAGCAACCAGGGCAGTCCTGGGGCCTCAATGGCAGGAATTCATAGGTTCTCTCTCTACAGCAGTGGTTCTCAAGAGGAGGGGAGGATTTTGGTTCCCCTTCCCCCACCAAGGGGGCACTTAGGTATATCTGGAGACATTTCTGATTGTCACGACTCTAGAGGCTACTGGCTTCTACAAGGTATAGATCAGGGATGAGGGATGATGGCAAACATCTTACCATGCCCAGGACTGTCCCACCCCCATATCTCAAAACACAGAATTATCTGACCTCAAAGTAATAGTACTGAAGTTGAGAAACTCTGCTCTAGAGCAGTGGCATTACATAACCAGTTTATAGAACGTCAAAATTTCTAGTCTGTCAATCCTCAATTTCAAATCCCAGAGGAAGGATTCCTGGTACATTTAGGATCAAGATCCCATCAGGAGTGAATACAGGGTGGGGCTATGTTGTAATAACACAACAGCTCCTATTATTATCCTAGGAAGGAATGGAAGAGAAGCAATTTCTAGAAAAGGAATAGTGAGCAGAAAAGAAATCTCATGGGTTTTTACTACAGTCTACTCCTTGGATTTCTATCATGCAAAATGAATAAATAAATAAATAAAAAGTCATCCTCGTGGGGATTACCATCTAATGGGATTATGGGGTTCATGGAACCATAGAGCTAACTGGGTCAACTCTGTCTCCAGCAGCATTTTCTTCTGTCTATACTCTATTTCTTAGTTGGCGATCTCCACACAGCCTGTTCCATGACATCGTCTTTAGAGTCCTGTAGAGTCCAAATGGCAGGTTGGTTTTCCTCTGAATTGCCAGCACTGAGTTGGGAAAGACAAAGGCAGCAAGTTTTCAAGTTACTGAAAACTTGAGTAAGTGTGAGTCGGGTACATACACTCAGTAGCCTCTGGAGTCGTGACAATCAGAAATGTCTCAGGACACTGTATTCAAGAACGAGTGGAGGCTACAGAGAGTGATTACAGAATATACTATGCCATCTAGAGCTGGGAGAGGGAAATCTGGCAACCACTGTGGCCAAGTACAATGAAATGGGTGGAGGTTAGTGCATAGGGTTGGTGGGAATTTGAACCAATACATCATTCCTGGGAGCTTCTCTTCCTCTTTCTTCTTTCAGAATTGAACCTTGATTCTCACAGGGCCATCAAGAAATCTAAATGTGTTTTATGTTTAACTCCCAAATAGGAACATCTGATTCTCTGAATTCCATCTAGGACATTTGTAACTTCCTCAGATCACAAGCCATGTTCTCTGCTATGTAATAGTGCTTTGTGGCTGTGTTGGCCAGCTATTGCTGTGGAATCATAGAGGCATACAACAATAAGCATATATTTTGTTCATGGGAGTGCAGGTTGAGTGGAGAAGCTCCGCCTCAGGCTGTGATGGCTCCAGTGACTCTCCTGCCTCTGCAAGCCCATGGATCAATCATGTGGTCTCTGCTCCACATGTGTTTATTCAAGGTCTCAGGCTGAAAGGTCAGCAGCCACCCAGGAGAAGCTTTTTTCTTGGCTATGTCAGAGGCACAGAAAGGAAACCTAACTGAACATGCACATTTTAAGTTGCTCTTTGTCACATTCACATCCACTAACACCCTCTGTCTAAACCAAGTCAGATGGCCAAGCCCAAGATCATGTGATTGAAGATACACTTTACCTTTTATGAGAGGAGTTTTCAAGTTCTATGACGATGGGTGTGGACACAAAGAGGAGTGAAGAATTGGGGCTAATTGTTCCATCTACTGCAGTGGTTGCCTAAGCAACCCTATGTGGGGTGAACCACTCAGCAAACAAGAGTATTGTTTATAATAGTAAACACCACAACAAACTAAACATAATAGATAACTGGTCAATGAAGGATTTCATGATAAATTATTAGTGTTGGGATGTGTTTCATTTAACAGGAAATTTTCAAATATGATGGGTAGCTGTCAAATAATGAGTTCTAACTCTACTACCCACTATTGCTGTCACTCATGCAAAATCTGTTAAGAAACAGCAACATGTTTAAGAAATAGGATATGCTAATTACCATACTGGATGCATTACATGTGTTCTTTAATTTAATATTCATAACAACCTTATGAAGTGAAATATTGCTTAACTCCATTTCAAAGCGGAGAAAAGTGAAGTTCAGAGGGCTTGCAGGCCCTCTACCTAGTAAGGAGCAAAGCCTGTACTTGAAGGACCTTAATCTAGAAGAGAGTCAATTGTGTAAGATTCCTGATACATTTAATTCTCTAAGATGTCTTTCAAAGTTGGCTAATTAGACACTTGAAGTTTGTAGACCCTTTAGGAAGGAGTAATTTAGTGCATCTCTGAAATAACTCTATCGTCCCATTGATAAATACTTCTGTGAAAGAGGTGATTTTCTTAGCCTCATCTGTGACTGAATATAAACATATTTATCTTATAAGGTTGGTGTGAAGATGAAATGAGACAATGCATGTAAAGAGATTAGCTAACACAGCACCTGAAAATAGAATTGTTCAATAAATGGTAACTGTTACCATCATCATCAACAATACTATTGACATCGTCATTATCACCAACACCACCACTGTCATCATCATCATCACCATCATTATTATCACCAACACCATCATCATCATCATCACCAACACCATCATCATCATCACCAACACCATCATCATCATCACCATCATCATTATCATCACTTTCATTATCATTTCCATCATCATCATCACCAACACCATCATGACCATCATCATAACCATTACCACCATAATTATCATCACCAACATCATTATCATCATCATTATCATTACCACCATTATTATAACCACCACCATCATCATCATCACCATCTTCTTTCTCTACTTCCTCATCATCATCACTATCCATCCACAACTCTAATATTCAACACACCTTACGTAGTGTTGTGTTGGTGATAATATGGTCAAGTTACTATCATGGAAACAATAGAAAGTATCCTCTTTTTGGCAAATAAAAAATAAACAGTAAAGGCATTCAGATAGGCCAGAGGCATGTTCCTGGTAGTAGCAGAGTGTCTAGATTCTTATAGATATGTTCTGGCTCATTGCTTTCCTGGTCAGACTGTCGGGGTTAGAAAATGTGTCTTTTCAGCTTCATCTTCAGAGACCATCTGGAGGCAAAGACATCAGAGAGAAAATTATGTTGCTCCAGGGGGCGTCTTAACATAATCTTCCCGGAAAGCCATGACCAATTCTGAATGTCTCTCTAGGAGTAAATACATAAATTAACACAGCTGCATAAATATTTCACTTATCTTATGCAGCTTCAACAGGATTAATTATGCTCTAAAATTAGACCTATAAAGAGCACAGTGCTGAGCAGTACCTAATTATTATTCATCTTCTAGAATGGAGTGTTTATCTCTTGTTATAGAGTAGCTTCAGTGGACAATTATGAGTGTAATGAGTGTCAAAAGTATTTTAAAATTTTCTTAATGAGCTATATAAATATAAATTTTCAGTGGAGTGTTAGGTTACTGAGGGAACTTCTTACATGAAGCCTGCCAGGCATTTCCCTAGGAAAAGAGCTATCGATCTGCCTTAAGAAATACACAGGATCTCAATAAGACCTTACCTTCCTTTTTTCCTGTACAATCATTGTGTCCTTTCGATGGAGGGCACCATGAGGATCTTTGCTCTCAGTAGTTTAGTAACAATACTCAGAGGTACGTTTCAGCTTTGAGCATGAATATCTAATATTTACTGAGAAATAGACCTTCTATTTGGACAGTGTCACTCAGTTGGTTGGAGCATTGTCCCATGCACTGAAAGGTTGTGGGTTCAATTCCAGGTCAGTGTATATACCTAGGTTGCAGGTTCAGTCCCTGGTTGGGGTGCTTATGAGAGGCAACCAATTGATGTTTCTCTCTCATATCCATCTTTCTCTCTCTCCCTCTCTCTCTCTTTCTTTCTTCCTCTCTTTAAAATCAATGGACATATCCTTAGGTGAGTGAGGATTGAAAAAAAAAAAAAAAAATATATATATATATATACCTTCCTAGGCACTGAGGTTCCAAGAAGGGAATGTCACAGTCTTCTTCTTCTTTCCTTCCAGGAACTTACAGTCCAGTTGGTGGGTAATATATAAACCTAAAATATCTAATTACAAAATATAAACATATTTACAATAATTCATGTATATGAAGTGATAGATACATGTTGATGTATATATACTCTTAGGTGTCTTGGGTAGGTTAGAAAGTAGTCAAGATGAAATATGAGATAAACTAGTTTCTTTTTAATGGAAGGATGAAAGGACTGAAAAAGGTCACAAAGAAAACAAGTGTATGAGATTTAGACAAAGACTAGAATGGGCCAGAGTTCAGAGAGCCTCATTCATGACCTCATCCAGCAACCAGCAAATATCTGCTGAGTACCTGCTCTCTCTCTGGCATGTAAAAGGTAACACTTAAGTGAGAACATAAATAATGAGTAAACCTGGGACCTAAAAATGGCATTCCTGGCTTCAAAGGAGAGGTTGAACAGGAGACCTCATAGGTCCCACCAATTTCATAGATTTTGTAATTTTTCAATGTGTTTCTGGGATTGGAAGAGACAGAAAAAAGATCAGAGCGGTTAAAGCCCTTTTGATGTACAGAGGCCAGCAAAAAGATATTGAGGAGAACAGATTATATAATAATATTCAGAAGCAAGTAATGCTGAGAAAAAAGAAGAAAATGATCGTGTTTTAA